GGAAACATTTTTAGGAAAAACTTAGAAAAAAAAACTTCGAGGAAACAGAGGACATATTTTATGGAAATACAGGGCAAAATCGACTTAGCTCATCGCCTTGATATTAAAAATAAACATTCTTTATGCGGCCTGCCACGCCTTCTTCTGCTCGTTACAATCATTTATCAAAACCATTATACCCCGATTTCCCATTTTCAACGTGTTTAGGGTATAATAAAACAAACTGTAAAGTTAAATACTTTGCTTTTGTATATTCATCATTAGGCGGGCTCGTTGAGCTGTTTCTAATCGATAATAACAAAAAGTTAGCAGCTCTAGGTTTATGACCTCTAAGTTCTATCGTGCTTGCTATTGCGATTTCACCTTTACACTCTTGCTAAGTTTTGCCAAGTTGAAGGAAGCAAAGAGCTGTAGCAGTTAGCTTACAATTTACATGCTATATTATTTATTACGGACTTGCTATTTGAATTCTTAAATTATTTAATTGTCAAATATGCATTCCAAGTATTATCCCGATTAGTTAAAGTCTTAAGCACAACAACACGAGCAAGTCAAAAATACTGCAAGCGCATTTGAAGTATCATTCACTTAGTACTGAAAATAAGCCCACTTGTATCCTAAAGATTCCCCTAGGCCAACTTATGCGCATAATTAACTGGAAATTGCATGAAATAAGTTTTAATTAACTTGGCAATTTGCAGGCAAGCCATTTTTTTTTTTTTTGCGCTGCTTGAGAAACGGCTAACAGACTATATAAATAACTTGGCAACAACTTAGGCAGGCCTTGGAGCTGGCTCTCGCTCGAACGTGCAGTCAGATGAGACAGCCTCTGCGAGTCGGTGCAAGAAAGTGCTGTCGAGGCGTATTAACAAAACTTTCGTAGCTGCGGCGCCCGAAAGTAGGCAATGAATTTTACGCTTTCAAAATATAAATTTGCATTGCGTCATTTGCAATGCGACTGGGCAGGACAGCTGTAGGACGAGTCATGGACGTGACTGGGGGCGCCTGAAATAGTGACTTTGTCTGCCTCGACCAATTCATGGCGACCCCTTTTGGGTGGAGCAGAGGCAGGAGCAGGAGCAGGAGGCGCAAAGGGCCAGCTGGGGCTAGTAAGCAGAACAAGAAAAATTGTTGGGCCGCCGTTAATTGTCAAGGCAACAGCGTTGCCACGGCAACAACAACAATAACAACAACAACAACAGCAACAACAATAACAAATGCGCAATCAGCTCGCCTGTCACTTGCATCAGTGTGTGTATCTGTGAATAGGTGTTTGCGTATGTGTATGTGCGTGTGTCTGTGTGTAATAAAGTGCCATTTTAATTACATGCATAAAATGTCGCAGTACTTGAAAAAAAAAAAAAAGAAATATAAGAGAAGTTAAGTCTCCCGGCAATTGTTGCAACACATGTTGTTCAAAGTGAATGCAGCTGCAACGCCGCCAGGGGCTTAACAACCTACCCATTATGTCGCTTTCAGAGCTTAACAAATAAATTGTGATTAATATTGTAATAATCCAAAGGATTCATATGAAACATTTTTTTTATATAATTTTTTGGATTATTTTTTTAGTGTGTAAAACATAAATTTTTTATCAAACATTAGGTTTTTTCACACAGATTTTGCATTTATTATTTAATTAATATTGACTCAAGGAATTTGTATATTGTGTATAAATATTTGTAAATTTTATATAATTTAATTATATTTGTGGTGCATTTCTCTGACTATTCAGCAGCAGAAAAACAAATGAATAGAAGATGAATAAATATATAGAGTCGAGGGTTCCTTACACAAATTCAAATGCAATAAATTTCTTGCTATTTAGTATTTATATATAGAATTTATGATATAAGTATCTGCTTATAAAACTAAAATATTATTATATATAACAGACTAGCTTGCAATCATAAAGAATATATACACGTAGCTAAACTTAAACAAACTAATTTTGTGACACAATTAGAAAGCCCTTCTCAACTAGGGTCAAAAAAAAGTTAATATATACTATAATTACTTAAATTTAATTGTGATTCTCATAACTGTTTTAGTTGTATAAGACATTCTGGCATAGCATCTATGGTTTCGTTCTTGTGGAAAGTTTTTATACCATTTCCTTAACTCTCAACTTTTGCAACTGGAACCGGAGCAGGACAAAGTTCTCCTGGACTGCTTTAAGTATCCAAGGCAACTATAAACTTTTAGGAACACACTCAAGCATACACCTAAACATCTGTGTGAGTGTATTGGGTCCTGATTGTGACATTGGAGCAACTTCAGAGCGGGCTTGCAGGCTCCTACTGATGCCCATGGGCAAACTCTTTTGAGTACGACAATATTGACTATCGAGTCTTGACCAACATTCAAGAACAAAACACAACAACAGCCGCCGTTCATCGAGTAGCATGTGTGTTAATTAAAATCCCGTCAAGATTCCAATTAGCCTCTGGGTTGAAGACGAGGATGACAAAGCCACACTCAGTCTATTGGCATATCAATTATGCACGCAACAGATTTGCATGCCACTTTATTTTGTTTCCATTAAAAATTTATCAAACTGTTCGAGCGGAGAGCTCTCTCAGAGAGATATGTCCTGTAAGGACCTTAGCCGCAATCTACACGGAAAGTCACGTACACAGCAGCCTAACGGGCCAGGACGACATTTCCCACTTAGACTCTAGGCTCTCGTTGCAATCAGTAATAATTTATAACGTTATAAATAATAGAAACTGCTTTAAATATTCCACTCGGCTGGTGCCAGCTGCAAGGCATGGCTTATACATATACCCAACTAAATAACAAAGACAATAAAATCTCATGTCAGCTTGACAGATAAACGAGAACATAAACCGATATCAAACGAGCGAGCATAATTAATTCTCGTTTCATTTGGAAACATGCAATAAAAAGTTATCTTAAATGGCATTTAGTGCAGAGGCATATGCAAAGGTTGAAATAATAAGTAGTCGACTGGCCAATACCCTGTACTTTGTTAATCTAGTGATGTACATTGGACTTCAATATAGATATAGATCAGATCAGTTTATAATGGTTGACTTAAAGTGCATATAAAAGGGAAATTAGGTCGTGGCGGATAAATTAAGTTTAGTACTTAATACAAATAAAAAGTATATACTAAGTCACTGTCAACTATCAAGTCAATTAGCAAGCTTTAGAGTTAGGTATAAAGATCGTACGTCATTCCATAACAATTTTCTATTTTCATGACTCGATCAACTTGAACTTTACCTATTCTCAATTGGTTTTTAGAGTTTTCTCGTCTCATATTCAGAAATAATATAAATCTGAATCTTAATTTATTATACAAAAGGGATTTAACTTGTTAACATATGACTGGAGCGTCCTGTTGTAATATTTGGGATTCATTTATTTACTGAAAATCAAGTCTAAATAAAACAAAATGCAAACATAAAATATGTATTAAAACCTTAGTTATTCGGTTTTTCGTGCACCGCAAATAGTTTCATTTAGTTTAATGAAAAACGCCAAGGAAACCGCAGTTGCGGCATTCCAGCCGCTGACCGCCGAATAAAGGAATGCAAATGGCATGCGGAATGCAGAGTTATATGGCTATGATATACGGCTGGAGCGGATCTACACCTGCACCTGCTGCATGCATGTGTGTGTGTGTGTGTGTGTGGTTAAGTAGATGGCGAATGTGCATGCTCCTACCGTTTTTTTATGGCCTGCCCAAAATTTGAATTGCTGCAACGGTTGCAGCTAAGCCACCTCCACTTGGCAGCCACACGGATTTCCGCTGGGCGTTGAGGTTGGGCGGCGGCCGTACAAAATGCAGCAAACATACTTTGGTCTCCAGCTGGGCCGCAGGGTCGGACGGGGTCGGAAAAGGTCGGGTCGGGTCGCTTTGGATCGGGCGCTGTCTGAGGAGCATTTGAAATTCCGGGTGTGAGCAGCATAAAATTGAATTAGTTTCGGGTCATTGTGCTTGGAATTGCAAATGCAATTATGCTTCGTATTATTCATACCGTAGACAGCGCATAAAAGCCGAAGTATAATGCAATTTGTATGCCATAAGAGGGCGTGGCTTCTCTTCATGTTACACCTGAATCATTTTTGATACGTTTGCATGGCTCAAACAGACTAATCTATTTCTTGCTCTCTCCCTTGCAAACTCTTGAAAATTAACATAATTTTATTCAAATATTTTATAAAGATTTTCGTTGTTTTTTATAAAATGTCAGTTTCATTTTTAATTTCTTTCGTTTGTATCCAAGACCTCAAATATCTAACTCTATCTAAAAACATCAAATGTTTCAAGAGTCATATTTAAATACATTTATCAGCCTATAACTTTTACTGTTATTATTATCATAATGCAATGTCTATGCATCCCATATCGAACTTAGTAAATGTTGCTTTAATTGTTTCATTGTTGCACGCAGTAATAATTAATATTAGCGTAAATCGATCTATAATAATTAGTATTAGTTTACTTTGTATTTCGACTCTTTATCTATCTATCTATCTCTCTCTATCTCAACTTCTTCAAAACTCATGTTGTACATTTGTTTTCTCTACTTCTTTTTTTAGAGCTTCAAGCTAAACCAAAAAAAATTTGTATAACGTAGAGAGAAATCATCAGAAACAAAAAAAACCAAAACAAAAACAAATACAAATACAAATAATAACCATAACAAAAACAGTATTGAAAAAAAAACAAGCAAGCAAACCCAACATAACTGTAAATTGGTACATACAAACAAGCCTGTTGCAGCAAACTGTAAACAAACAATCAAACAAACAACAACAACAATAACAACAAACGCCGCTAGTAGTTTCCTTTTGTGGCACAAGCGAAAATTCCATTTTGCATAGTAGACTTTTAGGCGTCGCACTCAATTTAGTCAAAAGCAAGAACAGCTACAACAGATACAAGAACAACAAGAACAACAGCAACACCTTCAGTAGCATCCATCTGAACATCCAACATCAAGCAAGCAAGCAATCAAGCAAGCAACCACCACAGCCACAACCACCACCAAAAACCACCACGAACCACATGAGCTTGAACAAGATCAAAAAGCGCGACAGCTCCGATTTATGACTGATGCGTGCCAAGGGCGCTGGCAGCGCTGTCGGCGTCGGCGTCGGCGTTGGCGTTGGCGTCAGCGTTGGCAGCGGCAGTCGGTACAAGGTGACGGCCCGATGTGTGCCAGAAGTGAGCATCACATCGCCCACCAGCGTCAGCCAGCTCCAGCTGCAGCAGCAACAACAACATGATGCACCCAACAAACACATAACGCTGCTGCGCAGCCGCTCACAGCCAACGTCTAACAGCATTTTCTCGCCAGGCTTGGGCTTGGCAGCGGGCGGCGTCACTCTGGTCGAAGAGGAGGACTTCAGCTTGATAACAGCGGAACCAGCCAGTGGCAGCGGCGCCAGCAAGAGCGTGCTGCAGCGCCAGCTGGCAACAACCACCCAACTAGACGAGCAGCAACAGCAGGAGCAGCAGCAGCAACTGGAACAGGAGCAGCAGCAATTGCAGCAACAACAGGCGCTGGGCGAGATTGAGGCGCCCAACGAACTGACACCGCTGGTGGAGGAGCGGTGCGCCGCTGCCACTGCCACAAACGCTGTGGCATCTGCACAAAATCCAAGCACATCGAACACGACCAATCGCTACAGTCACAACTCGAAGACGACGCGCTCCTGGCCCGTCATCTACCGCAATCCGCATCACTGCGACTACGAGGCGCTCTACGTGCAGCAGCAGTCGCCGACGCCGCCGCCGCCGGCACAGCAGTCGTCGCAGTCCTTTAAGCAGAACTGTTACTCCAATCAGTTCAAGCAATCGATTGTCTACTCCAGCAGCAATGAGGAGCTGCCGGGTGGACCGGAAGTAGCGGATATCACGCCACGCCAGACCACATGTTACTACTTTGCGCCCAGCCGGCACAATAGCATTTATGAGCATCCCTCGTCCGTGGTTGGCGGCTCCTTGCAGTTCGACGCGGCCAGCAACGCAGCGACCACAGCAGCAGCAGCCGCTGCCGTCGAGAGCCTGAGGCGGAGCAACAGCATCCTGCTCCGACAGAACAGCTGCGCCAAGGTCATACAGCGCAGGGGAAGCGGCAGTGCCGGTGCCGCTGCCTTGGACACATCCACATCGCTTAGCTCACACATGGACGGAATGGGCATGGGCAGTGGAACCGGAGCCAGCGCCTGCTGCTCCAGCTGCTGCATGGGTCCTCCACCCGTGCTGTTCCTGTTCGTCACGCTGCTGATGACCACCAGCGCCACGGCCATGCTCTGCGCCGCCATAATGACTGACCACTGGGAGCACGTGACGTGGGATCGCAGTAGTCTGGATCGTTACTCGAACCGGTCGGGACTGCACCTGGAGTGGCTATTGGACGAGCAGGTGGCCATGCTCAAGCCAGACAAAAGAGGCAAGTCAGAAAACTCGGAATTGTATTCCAATTGACCTTAATAAATTCTGATATTTCATCCGAATTTATCGATTGCTTTCCAGCTGATCACCGTTTCCGGCGCGACTCCGTTTTCCTGGTGCCCATGCACGGCGGCATCTGGACACTGTGCATTGATCTGCCCATAGCGCAGCTGCAGGAGCTGCGCCGCAATCCCAAATTTCCGCGCGGTGCGCCGCCCTGTGTTAACTACCTGGCCGGATCGATGGAGAATGCGCGCGGCGAGGAGCAGCGCAACGATTGGCAGCACAGTGAGTCACAGGTCATCACACTGCAGCCCCATCTGAGTACGTATTGTGGCGCAATCCAGCCCCGGAGCCTAATTTCCAAACAGCTCCTACCTCTAGACTCACAGATACTTTAGTTTGGACACATTTTTTGATGACTTAACAACTTTTTCTGTTGTGAGGCAATTTCGTTTTTATTATTAATTCAATCGTTTTGCTCTCAATCATTTTGTTTCTTTTAAATAGTATAAAAACATTATTTTATGTACGCACTTAGCACTAGTTGTGATTGTAATCTTACAGACTTATAGAAAATGGTTGTTGTGAACATCAAAAACAAATAGCATATTCTTAAATAGAACTAGGCTTGGGATAGGATAAGCTTGTGTGTGTGTGTGTGTGTGTGTTTACGTATATATGTGTGAGTTTTAAGTAGTTGATGTGTTGGTGTTGTTGTTTGTGTTTGAGTGTGTGTTTGTATTTGAGTGTGTCTACAGCTGGAATGTGCAGTCTTAGAGCGATGTCTAAACAGCAGCACGCTTGGCCGGTGAACAGAGAGCTTCGGCCTCCGAGCTGGGTTCCTCGGGCTTCTTGCGTTTGATCAGATGCGTGATATCTGTGGGCTTGGCCGAGCTGCTGCTGATGGCCGACGACGAGGCAGCCGATGTTGCAGCCGAAGAGGAACTTGATGGAGCTCCATTGGCAGCGGCGCCGCTACCACCTGCTGCGGCTGCTGTCGATGATGAGGCAGCTGAGTCTCCACCCGCGTTGCTGCTGCTGCTCATTGGCTTGATGTAGCTGTCCAAGGCGGCGCGCACCTCCGCAATGGTCTAAATAGATTTATTATAAATATCGGCATTGCGTATGATTCCTTAATTGCAACTCACCTGCGCCTGTGTTTCTTCGATCTCCTGAATCTTGACCAGAATCTCCTGTCTAGTCTCTTCCAAGTCCAGCATGTTGTTCTTATCACGCTCGGTTGGATTCTCCTTTTTCTTGATTTCGGCAATTTCCTCCTCGATAAGCACGCTGGAATTGCGCAAGGCACCGGCGCCCTCCTTGTTCTGCTGCTGCATGAGATGAGTTAGTCCGATCTTGTAGTGCAGCTCGGCCAGTGCACGACGATTCCTGTTAGGCAGCTCTGCATGTATCTTCAGCGCTTTATCTGCAAATCGTATACAAGTTAATCGCAAATTCATCTTCCTATCAGTTCAAACTATTACCGTAATCATCACGAGCAGCATCCAGAATTCCATTCTCAAATTCAATATTGGCCAGTTCGGTTTGCACGTCAGCCAGGTAAGGCAAGCCGCTGAGACCCTGTCGCGAGAATATCTTGGCCGCCGCCTCGAGTATCTCCCAAGCCAACTGCAAGCTACCGCTCACACCTTCGGCGTCCTCGTTGTCTTCCTCTGCCTGGTCCACATCCATGGAACCTGGTGCGCCGTTGCTGGTACCTGGAGCCACTTCACCATTGGAGGTGCTTGGACGCTCATCTTCGGCGTTAGATGCTGCAGAATTGCTGTTGCTGCTGCTTACTTCATCGACTCCCGTGGGTGGCTTGGACCCACCGGCAACATCTGACTTAGCCTGGTCGGCATCGCCTGTGGAATCGGCCTCGTCGGCAGTACCTTCCTTAATGCTGTCCAGTTTTTTGCCATTTGCATCCCCATTTGCCTTAGCCACCGCTGGCTTCTCTCCATTGGCCTCGCCTTCTTCTTCCTCCTCTTCGTCCACATCCTCATCCTCATCATCATCAGCCGCCTCATCGGGCACATCGATCACTTTGTTCTCATCCAGTGCCATCGCAATCAACGCCTTTGCATAGCTGCACGCAACGAAAGAATACATGTTAGTTATTTCGATCTGATTTATATATTATCGAACTACTCACAGCAGCAGTGGCTGTCCCAACTCATCGGCCAGCTCGCCGTAAACTTCCTCGTATAGCTGGCACACTTGACTCAGCTCATCGGCTGCCTCGTCGTAGCTCTTCACTAGAAAGTTACGTGAACCCTGACTAAACAGCTCTTTGCCCTTCAAGATTTTTTCGGCACGTATTTGCTCCGGATTTAGGGCACTTTCTGAAGGCTGCTTATCAGGCGTGGTGTCCGCAGCAACGGGCTCATTAGCTGTTTTCTCTGGCGCTGCATCGGCAGCACCGGCCGTGACAATTGCTTCAGCTTCAGCGGACATTTTAGCGTTCTTTGTGAATTTAACTGTAATGGGATAGAAATATTCAATGTATTAAGTTGTATTATATACATATTTAAATATTGCAATTTTTGTTTTTTGTATTTTTGTAGAGCTTTTATAATTACATAATAGTTTGGCGCTTAATCTTATTTGAGTCCCTAAGTAAATCCCTTGCTCCCACGACTGATATCCAACAACTTTTGTAGAGATTGTGCCCTAGACGTCACTTTCGATGTATGTAGCGAGACCGAAGAGAGCCGCAATTTAAAAACAGACTAAAATACATTTTATCCACACGTTTTACTCGTACTTTTCGCAAATCGAATCACAGCCTAATAGCTAGCTTACTGTCCAGCCGCAGCTGTCACAGCACATACATATGTACATAAATTCATTTATCTGGCTCACTGATTCACACCCAGTGGCTTAAAGCGACATCGCCTCACCTCACGCTGCCCGCACCTTTCACAAGTCATTAACACAAATCCCCAATCGAGAAAGATTCCAAAATTGTTGCAAATCCTTTTGAGTACATTAAGCTGAAAAAAAAACAAGCGAGCTCGAAACGGGTGTGCTAGAGCTCTAGATGCCCTACATGCAGCAATGGGAATAGCTTGAAGAGCAACATTTCCTTAGATATAATATCCAGCCTCTTTAGAGTAAAAGTCTCTGGGAGCCAATAAAAACGTTTTTGTGCTTGGTTACACACACTTCTATAACACCATATTGCCCCGTATTAACCCACACACAATGGGTATAAGAGCCGAGAGAGCAACAGCAACCAGAAATGGGTACAATAAACGTCCGTGAATCCACCCAGGCAATGACATGAAATGCATATAGTAATTACCAGCAGTTCCTGGGTTTAATGCCAGACCATTGTCGATATCGAACCGCACACGTGTGTCCCCCGACCCCAATCGGCTCACCATGTTCGTTGGGTCGCCTTGCGCACGTATAAGAAAAAAGAGCAACAAAAAATAGGTCATCGTGTGGTTGGGGCTGGGGTTTGCGCTGGATGGGTGATGCTCACCCACTCCACCTCCTGCAGGCATTGTAAATCGCAATTGCCACTTTGGTTTTTGGACGAGTTAGTTCTAAAGGCTGCCGCGGTGGGCTTTTAATTGGCCCAGTTAGTGTAGCGCATGGAGTAATTGGTTTTACCAGTGTTTTGATTGCGAGTATTATGTGCTAGTTGAAATTAATAGCACGTGCCAGATGGATTTAAGGCTCGTGGGCGACATTGAAAAGCGAGCATATGGGGCGGCATGAGCGAAAAGATAGCAATTGATAAATATCGAAATATGAAATACTGCAAGTTATAAAGTATATATAAGGCTATACATTTGGTCATCTGAAATCATCCAACAGTATCTAATATCTAACATAATCCCAAGCTTCTATATCCATAACACAATCTGCTTATCTGTATAGCTTTCGCTTTCGCTTAACAATTCATTCTTTATGTTTCGTTAACTTTTATAAATGATGTCAACTTGAACACATCAAAGTAAAAGCCGCAACTAATTAAAATTTGTCTTGATTGAAAAAAACAAAAATAATTATATAGGAATGCAAAACCTGTCCATATCCTGCTCACTAGTCTGTCTCATCATTCTGGGCAGCGCCGCATTGGTGGGCGCCTTTGGCGTGTGCCAGCGTCAAATAAGCGCCATCCTTATTACGGGCGTCATGTATCTGCTTGCGGGTGAGCTCAACCGGAAATCCGACACCGGAATGGTATCCATTTGATCTCAACTAATTTCCTTCTCTGTTCACAGCTCTATTTGCGCTATTCACGCTGATGATAATTCACTTTAAGCGGCAGCAGGGACGCCCCATGCTGGACAGCGACTATGACGGCACCGTCGACGGCATTGTGGCCCGGCCGGGAGGTGTGGCCATTGTGGCCAAGCCGTTGCTGGGCGCCCGAGTATTTCTAACCTCGTGGAGCCTGGATCTGGGCTGGGGCGGCGTGGTGCTGTGCGCCATCACGTCAGTGCTGTGGATTCTGCTCTCGAAGATCATGCGCTACAACCCATTCTCGGCTCTTATGATTTAGCTAAACGCCCTGCCGCTCGGCGGCTATGGCAACTATGATAGCTACGATAGCTATAATGGCTATTATGGCAGCTACGGCAGCACCAACAGTAGCAGCAGCGGCGCTAGCGCCAGTTTCCTTCTGGCGGGCGCCTCAACGTCGACGCGGCATGCGGAGCACCGGGGCAAAGGCAAATACATACTCTGAATTGTCCCAGCTCCCAACAAACAACTCAAACCTTGATCTTAACTCTCCTGCTTCCACACTGTATGTTTAACGGTTCATCATTTCGATTTGTTTTGAATGCGCGCCCTCTACTAAGTTGACAGTGTTGGAAAATGTACCAAAACGCGATAACCGCCTTGCCTTGTTCTTATATTATATACGTATACTTATAGAACCAAACAAACTTTATCTGAAACTTGTATTGTAAATCAAATTTACGATTATCTATCTATCTCTATGTCTATATGAAACACTCGCAATTTTTGTATACATTATCTTTAAATACTTAGCTAATCTACACCAAACAACTTTACACACGCACACACACACAATTATAGGCCACGACTACATTTGTTATATAGATTTGAGATGGTTCGGGATTTATTTACAAACTCCCAAACTGGGCTTTTGCTTCTGAAACGCTTAACTAGTAACAATTTCGCGTGCTTAGCAAATTTCTAGCATATTTCAAGAACTAAACTTAATGGGCCTATTTAAAATTCTTGGCTATACCAGTTTGTGTGTTTTCAAACAGCATTAACCAATAGATCAAACTAATACAACTATCAAAAATATAGATATACTGTTTATAGAGTGCTTTAAGCTATGGTTTACAAAACTTATTCTATTTGTATAGGTGCATCCACTTGGAAAAAAAAAAAACAAACAAACAAACAAAGAAAACCAACAAGTGTATTTTTATGCAATTGCTTTGCCTTAAACAAAAAATTAAAAGACAAAACCTAATTATATTAATTAAAATTATTTAAAACAACATTAAAATTGTACAATTTCTTTTGGGACTGTGAAAATTGTGAAGACAATTACGATCGATCTATTTATAAAGCAGGCGACACATCTGCCGAATGTTTATTAAATTTTAAATGTTAAACAAAATATCAGGCAAGAAACGAACGCAGGTTCATTAGCATTGAGCACGACTGTTGCTGCTGCGCTGCGTCTGCGGCTGCTTAAGCAAATATGTAAATGAACTCGCAAAATAAATTATATGTATATAAAATTGAAAAAAAAAGAAGTTAAAGAAGAGCGCGCCAAATTCAATAAGTTGCAACGAGGATCTGAGGATTTGGGTCAGGGGAGCGAGTCATAGCTCAACAGATAAAATGGCTCAAGTTGTTTTATTAGCACGCACTGCAAACAATTAAATACACACATCTAAAAGCACACATGTACGTATGCCTGTATTTGTGTACATGTGTAAACGGCAAAGAGATCGAGATTACAAAACAACGCAAAAAAGTTCATTCACCTGTGTGAGTGCGTGCGTGTCTGTATGTGTGTGTGTGTTTTTTTTTTTTTGCGCGCATCGCTACGCGCTTGTGTTTGTACATGTGTGTGTGTGTGAGCCCGCCATTCGCCGCCTGTTACTGTCACACGCTGAAAGACACACACCGGTAACGCTAACGGACTTTTTTTCAACCCAAAAAGCTACAACAACAATTTCGCATCTTCACAGACAACAAATGGAATTGCAACAATTCAAAGCGCTTTTGCACATTAGATTCGCGAATCCGCAATTCGCATGGTCGACCTTACATGTGTGTGTGCCGCTATGCATGTCTCTTTCAGGCGCATAAATAAGTAATATTTCACTTTATGAACACTTACCTGTAGGTGGAGAATCTTTAACAAAAAACAATTAACAAAATTTGCACAATTCGAGCACTTAAACTACGCTTATTCGCAAAAATTATATGAGTAAGCGCCGCGAAATGCTAAAGAAGATAGATGAATCGTCGCTGTTTTATCGATAACTAAGCAGAGTTTATGGTCACACTATGTACAACTTATCGATAGCATCTCAACACATACCAAATTATGTCATTAAAAAATGATCACAGTATGCTCTGACGTTAGTTTGTTAATGTTTATACTAACTTACAATTTAATTTTAAAAATAAATTTAGTTTTCTCTATCGATACATTAAGGCTTGCCAGCGCGCCTAACTATCGGCTAACTAGTGTGTGCACACCAAATTTACTTAAGCAAGTTGGCAGTCTATCATTTGTTTTGACGATTGCACAAAATCGACTTGCCTTGTCGTTTAATCGAGAGTGCAGTTACATTTCAGAGTCCATCGTGAGGGGACGTGTACGGTGTTATCCAAAATTTGTTAAAAGGCGTTAGTTATTGGGCATTTGAATAAACAAAACGATAATTAGTATACACGAACTGCTCCAAATTCCAATAGTGCAAATTACAAACCAACACAACCAAGCATTAATAATTCCACCCTCTGTTTGTCAAATATTTATACACACCACCAACGCCCCCCGCCCCTGGCCGTGTGTGAGTGTGGCGCCAACGTACATATGTAAAAGCATTCGACGTTGCGTCCGATAAGAACAGCAACAACTACATCTACAGTTACAACAACAATTATTGTAAGTATATTTCTATGCTGTTGCTTTTGTAATGTTGTCCTTAGTGCGTACGTTTCCTATTTCTATTGATTTTTGAACGCTCTCGGTTAACCCTCAACTTTGGCCCTTTGTTTTTGTCGTGTTTTGTTTTGTGTCTTGCTCCACTTTGCGTCGTGTGCGACTGTTTGTGCGTGTGTGTGTTTGTATTTGTTGCTTTTGTCATTCAACTTGGCCGATGTCTTCATTGTTATTACTGTAGTTATTTTTTGTTGTTTGTTTTTCATGTGCTTTTATTCTCTGCTTCTCTGATTCACCTGCTGTTTGCTTCACAGGCAGCTGCAAAATCTCAGCTGCTACTGCGACGACAACAACAACAACAGCAGCAGCAGCAACAGCATCAGGCAGAGCTTTCGTTGTTGTTGCAATAACCGGTTTGCGATTTCATTATGAAAAGCGTGTTAACTTTTATCATTGTCCAATTGCACATGTTGTTAAATTGAGTCTAACCAATTGGAGCTCCAGTGCCAAATTGTTTTTAATTGCACCTAATTTTCTCCTACAGGTGCAAATTGGTCAGTTTTTCTCGCAATCGTGTCTCCTTTTTCTTATGTTTTCACGCTTGTCAGGAAATATTTCGAGCTATTTTCGAAAAAAAAAAAAAAACAAAACGTTTTTCGTTCAAGCTGAAGCTTTCCTCTTTTTTACCCTTCCTAAAGTTGACTTCAGCCTAAAATAAATGGGTTTTTTCTGCACCAAAACGAAACTTTTGGCAAACGCGAAGTGCAGCAGGCAATTCGTTTTTGCAACCACCGGAACCGTAAGAGTCCACATCATATGCAGGCGGCGGGTGGCAGCCAGCACACGAATAAGGACATGATGCCTGCACACTCCACGGATTTGTACATGCTCGACATGCGACGAATCGAATTTTAGGTGGGAGGCATACCTTGGGCAGACTCTACTCCCAAAATGCCAGAATTGTCCTCGATTCCTGGGCGCCCGGTTGTGTAAACTGCGGCAACTGTCAAGCGGAAAATAACAGGAAATGAATTGTAAATTAAGTGTCCTCAGTGCTGCCCACAACACGGTTAGTCGTTCTGTGGCCCAAAATCCTGTTATACAGTTAGGGGTCACCCCCAGGGAATGCCACGGATATAACCTTTATTAAATATTGTACAGTTGAGTCTGGGTATGTATTGAGTCGTCCACATGTTCATTTGCAAATCGAATGCATATAAATCTAGATAAAGGAAAAAGATTATTGTTAAATTCGTAATCTATAAAAAGATCTAAAATCTAAGATTTCATAAAATTGCATTTATTAAATTTTGGACTAATCAATAATATCAATTAAGTTTAGAATGCGATTTCATATTTTTAAACTAATGAAACTTATTCTTTCTGACTTATTCAGATATACTCAAAGTAGTTTAGTCAGCATTTTAATTAATCAGTTGTTTTTTGTTTTACCTCAATTAAACAAACATGGTTTTCCCATTTACTGCATGCTAAAAGCCTTTTGAATTAACTCTTAACTACTTTTTATTGTTCAGTTAACCATATGTTTTTCTGTACCGCTTCAGCTTTAGCTAAACTCATCTTAAAATCAGCTGCATTGGGGCTAACCATGTTGGGCTTTAACTTGACGTGAAAGTGTTCGACAGTAACTGAAATATTTGCAACGCATTTAAGATGCGCAGTTCCAGTGGCGCCACGAATCTTGCTGGAATTCAATCACTTTCGCCCGCTCTCGGCCAAGAATGTTGCCGACTCTTTTTATTTTGAAGCAAAACTCTGAACTAACTACCCTACTCTATACACATTTGCTGAAGTTGGGTTTATTTGGGTGGTTCAGTGGCAGCAGCTCGCCGTCATCTGCCACTGCCACTGCCACTGCGACGACTCTGGCCCAGACGGGGGATGCCGCATAAAGCGATGCCCCGTCTGTCTGACTCCATCCACAGCTGGCGCACTCCCATGCCCAGCAGCTGTCGCTCCTTGTGCTCCTTTGTTGTCTCGATGGCATTTTATGATACGTATAGTTTGGACTGCTTCTGGTTGGCTTGCGTTTGTTTGCTCTCAACTTGGGAGTTCATTCGAAATGCATTTTAACTTGTTTCATATACACTTACATATACCATACTGTTCCATTTCTCATAATTTAACGACCACAGTTGAGATATTAAATTTCTTTATTTGCTTCATTTTTATTACTAGTAAAGGGGAATCGAGAGAGACATTTTTATATGTGAGAGAGCATTTATTAATATATATATAATTGGCTGGCTCTGTTTAAAAGCAATTCCTTCAGGTAGTACTTTATAAACATATCAAACTGATGTTGTATGACTTCATATATTAAATAATTTCAGATATATCTATACTGTTATATTGACTCTATAATAATTTACCTTAATTTCACTTCTAATACTTTAAATTGCTAATAATCATTTCAATTAAAATCGCAAAACAGAAAAACTGGTTTTGGCTGCCCATAAAAAGATGAACTTGTATCAGTTCAAAGAATTTTTACTTATAACATGTTCCTCTATTGCTCAGCCGCATTTGTAGGTTCTCACACAATTTAGCGTACCCCCATAGATTATATTAATTACAGCACGTCAAAATTTTAGCTAGCTTAAAAAGTCGAATCACAATTCATTTCGTGCAGCTGCTTTGCCAAACATTTTATGAAAGCTCGTAAAAAGTCTGATGGGATATTAAAGTCGAAGATGTAATACTCTTTCTGACAAAATATAACTTTAATTTTGTATGTATTCATCGATGACCCATTGCTACTATATATTGAGATTTGAATGAAGCATATAAAGTATTAAGAGATGCCGCTCAAAATATAATAGCTTTATTGCAATAGCCCTCAGCTTAGGGTATAAAAAGAGATATATTATATATGTATACCATTTATATAACGCGCCTTTCATCGATTAGGTAAGAGAAACAGACGATTCGAAGCGCGCCTCGACCAAAATAAACTTTTTTTTGCCGATTTTAAGTTGAATGAACAGCAGCCGCAAAATGGAAACCGCTGCACAGATCTCAGAGAAACAGTTCATTGAATTTGTTCAGGGGGAGAGAAGTTAATCGAGGTTTCTCCAGCTGACCGACTCGACGTCGATTTGCCGACTCGCCGATTCTTTGTCTAAGCACGCGCCGTGTCTAATGATTAGTCAGCCAACTGACGCGATGACTAAGCCCGGCAATGGAGCTCAAATTAGAGCTAGACAGGGGTCTGGCAAAGGTGAGGCGGTAAGAGGAGAAGGTCAG